ACTATACTAGGAGTTTAGTTAATAAGATCAGGCGTGGGCAGGAAATATGGTAGGTATTTATAAGGGTTAAATACTAGGTCAAATATGGAAAGAAAAAAATACCTGAGAGGGATCTGAGAGGGAAATTGGCATGTTGTTAAGGGCCACAGATTTTAGAGATTGTTAAATTTATAGAAGATTAAATTAATAGGTCAAAGAAGAGGGGATAAGAATGCGGGAAAAGGGAAAGGTGTTGAAATAAGAGTGTGGAGTGTGTGGGGTGCAGCTGAAGACTGCAGTAAAGTCTGTTACAGTACAGCGGTGAGAAGCATAAACAGCGGTCCTAAAACCTAACTGAGCACTATACAAACAGAAGGAAAACCACCATGAGACCTATGTGCAAGAGTCAAGACTAATAGAAAATAAGAACTAAAAAGAATGCCTTACGGAGTGATTTGCTGGTATATGTGTGCTGAGTTGAGAGGTGAGGTTCTTAGATCCCTCTGCCTCTAGCAAGCTCCATGTGGTGCTGTGGTGCCAGAGGGGCCAGAGGGGCCTTTGGTCTCTGCAGCCTCAGTGTTCTTAGGGTTCTGGCATGGGAGAAAGGGGGGTTTTAAGTCCTTTCCTGGCATTTCCCTTGGACCCTTGCATTCCACTGTGGCCTTTCTGCTCCTGCATGTCGGTGTGTGAGGGCCCCTGTGTGTGAGGAACGGCTCTTCCCTTGAAGTCCACTGCTCCTTCCTGGGCAGCTTTACTGGTGGTACAGACTGGAGAGGGCTCCATCTGGACTGTGATTCTCAGCCAGCCTGCCTTTGGTGGCTAGGACTAGGACACTGGGGTGAAGTCTCCCACTCAAGAAAACAGATTTTTCTGAGATCCCAATCTTTTAAGTAAAAGAAAGTTTTTTGTTTTTTTTTTTTAAGAATGTATCCCATCCCTAATTTCTAAAGTGTTACATAATTTCATGTGTGCCTGCCTCCCTCTTTCCCTTAGTTTCCTCTTCTTCATATGTTAAATGGCTGAATGGATAAAAATGGGAAGACAATGAGGAGCAGGAGTGTTCTGGAAGTTCTATATACTTTAAAGGACTACCCCTATTTAGCATTTCCTCTGCCTATAAGGAATTTCATTAGTGATATAATAGGTGGGCTTTGTTTATTGTATATTAACTCAAGTCTAAAGCAGTTAATACATGGTAAGGGTGAGGGCAACAGAGTGAGATTATGATGAGCTTTCAGGAAGTGGGAAGAGAGCTGGGGGCAGGGAAGGGAAGGCTAGTGTTTATCCAGGTTGTCCATAGTCCAAGCATTTGTGTTTGGAAAACAAGGGGATCCTGGATAGAAGGGTGGATGGACGTGGTCACTGCATGTATGGAAATATCACAGTGAGGCTCACTAATTTGTATGATTAAACACCTTTTCAAGATGGTTAGTAAACATACCAGGAGATAACAAAACAATCCTCATAAAAATTATGTATTATATAGGGCATGTATAATCCAAATAAAGTATTAACTTTCTGATGTATATTTTAGGCTTTTCAGACTCTTTTGGGAAGCTAATTGTGAACTTTATTTTTAAATTTTTAATTGAATTTTGTGTATTTAATACAGAACATCTTAATCATCTTTATACCCCCTTACCCCATTGATACCTCCAATGACATACATTCTGTCATTTGTGTTAAGGCCTATCATATCACATTACTGTCCCCAGAAGTCCCTCAGTGCAAGTTCATCCACTGTGGTCTAGTCAACCTGTCTAGAGCCCCTCCCTTAAAGGTGATCAACTCTTCCTCACCCAGCAGTAATCAGCTGCCAATAATTCTTCAAGTAAGATTGTGGCCTGTTATCCATTTCCATAGTTCTGTGCTGGATTTTTGCCTGCTTGGGTTTGCATGGGTCTTGTACATGCTGAGACCATTGCTGTAGGTTCATATGAGCAAGGTTCCAGAAGCCTGTAGGACTCTATTTCCGTATGGTCATGCACCTTTTCCCTGGCTCTTATAATTCCTGTCCCCTCTTCCACAAAGGTTCCTGAGCCCTGGGTGGGTGGAGTTTAATGTAGGCGTCCTGTCCAAGGACCCACGCTCTGCAGACACTTATTCTCTGTGTTTTGGCCATCTGTGACCTTTTGTATTCCTAGCTGTCTGTTGCATGAGGGAGCTTCATTGATGAGAATTGAAAGATGCATTAGTGTACTCTTTACCCCTTGTTCTAGGTTCCATGAACCTTAGGTGTAGAGGTTGCATTGTAGATGTGCCACTTAGGCTTGGGCTATTCACAGAAAATCTCTGTATATGACCAGTTGTGGAACTCTGTAATAATCTCCATCTGTTGCAAAAGGAGCTTCTTTGATGAGTGGTGACTGGCATACTTGTCTGTAAATATAAGGATCTATATTTTGCGCATAGTAAGAAATTACAGTTGTCTAGGGATGTGACAAATTTGGGTTTTCTCTAAGTTCTATGACCTCTCCAGCCATGTATATTTGGCTGTATTTACAGTACCACCCATGAGTTCCCTCCCATCAAGTGGGATTTAAGTCCTATTGGGTAGCTGTTGATTATCCCCAAGATAAAAGTGCCACTACTGCACCAATGTCATTTGCTGTGCTGGTCATTGATGTGGTTTTTAGACTTTAAAGCTGGGGCTGGGACATCAATTGATGTTCTCCCTTAGCAGCTTGCACAGTGCTCTCCACAATTATGAGAGTTAGCCTTCAGGGGAGGTGGCTTCCAGGTCAATTCCAGCTCCATTACTCCAAGTCCTTTGTCTGAACTATATCCTTTCTTCAACTTCTGGGAGGCAATTAAGGGCTGTGGCAATAGTCTGCAAAATTTTGGGAGTCTCCTGGACTACCCTGGCCAACAACTCAAAGGAAGGCTTCTCCCGCCTGGCACTGTTTCTTGTTATGTAGCCTTCAGCTATACTCATGTAGAGATATTGTATGGGTAGTTTTTCAGTAGGTTTTTGGATTAATACAATCCCCTCTGTTCTTTTACACTAGCCAGACAGTATTTATCTCGCCTTTTCCCTGTCTAACCATCCCTCCACACCATCCCCCTTTAAAGTATCCCCCCATTTTCTCCATTTCTCCCTTGATAATACCTGTCTCCTATGGTCCCGCCTCTCTTCAGGAACTTGATTTCTTTTAACCTTTCAATTTCTGATCTGTGTGTTCTGAATTGTATTTGTTACTGCATTATTTTTAATATTTCCAAATTATTCCTTCCTTTTATTGACTTGGTTATCATTAACTGCTTCAAACTAGAAGCACACTAGAAACATGTAGATTTTTTAAAACAATGGCATCTGTTGTCTCTTTCTGCAAAGTTCTATCTGGGCTGACCTTATTCTATGGAGGCCAATTCTTGAACAATTTCCAGAATTCTAAGTCGCTAGTTAAGAATATGTATATCTTAATGACCATTGCTGTAGCAATATTAAATTACTTTTAATGATATATCTTCCCTTTTAGAAACATTGATCTGAGAAAGAAGTATTGATATACTAATAGTAATCATATTACATAATCTGTTTCAAAATTGTTACTTTTGCTTAATGTATATTTTTATGCATTTCATATTTAACATCTTGATCACTTTTTTTAAAGTTATTATTTTTATTTTATGTGTATGAGTGTATTGCCTACAGCTATGTAAGTGCACCCATGCCATGCAGTGCCCCCAGTGGTCAGAAGAGGGTGTTGGATCCCCTGGAACTGGAGTTATGGATGGTGGTGTTAACCACCATGTAGGTGCTGGGAATCAAACCTAGGTCCTCTGCAAGAGCAGTCAGTGCTCTTAACCACTGAGCCATCTCTCCAGTCCCCCCATCTTAATCATCTTTATCCCCCTTCCCCATTGGCACTCCCTATACCCTCACTGGATTTCATGTATTCTGTCAGATAAGTTAAGGCGTATTGTGTTGTTAGTGTATTCAGACATCCCCCAGTGCCAGTTCATTCACTGGTGTCTAGTCAGTCTATCTAAAGTATCTTCCTTAAAGAATATCAACCCTCTCTCACCCAGCTGTAATCAGCTGCCAATAGTCCTTTGACTAAGGTTGGGGGCCTGTTTCTCATTTCCAGAGTTCTATGCTGGATTTTTGTCTAATTGAGTTTGCATGGGTCTTAATGCATGCTGACACCATTGTTGTAAGTTCATGTGAGCAATGTGTCCCAGGAGCCCGGAAAACTCTTGTTTCCTTATGGTCATTTACCTCCTCCCTGGCTCTTCCAATCTTTCTGCCCCCTCTTCCACAATGGTCCCTGAGCCCTGAGTGGGTGAAGTTTAATATAGGAGTTCTGTCTAGGGACCCATACTCTTCAGACTCTCTACACTTTGGCCATTTGTGGCCCTTTGTGTTCATTGCCCTCTGTTGCATGAGCAAGCTTTGTTGATGAGAGTTGAGAGATGCATTAATATTCTTTCTACCCCTGTTCCACTATGTTCTGTGAGCCTTAGGCATAGAGGTTCTGTTACTGGTGTGTCACTTAGGGTTGGGCATCTCACAGACACTTATTTTCTGTGTGTGACCTGTTGTGGAACTATATAATAGTCTCCATCTGCTGCAAAAGAAACTTCTGTGATGAGTGGTGACTGGCATACTTGTCTGTAAATATAAGGATCCATACGTAGCATATAGTAAGAAATTACGTTTGTCTAGGGATGTGAAAGACTTAGGGTTTTCTCTAAGATCTATGACCTCTCCAGGCATGTGTATTTGACTGTTTACAGTGCCACACATGAGTTCCCTCTCATTAAGTGGACTTTAAGGCACTTGACTTGGACCAATGGAGCTGGAACTGACCAGGAAGCCTCCTCCCTGAAGACTAGCTCTCATAATTTTGGTGGACACTATGCAAGTTGCTAGGGAAGAAAAGCAATCAATGGTCCAATCTACCTCTAAAGTCTAGTAACTGCAACAATGACCAGCACAGCAAACTATAGTGGTGCAGTAGTTTAGGGATAATCAACAGCTACCCAATTGAACTTAAAATTTGTTACTTATTTTGCAGGTCCTGACACTAAACTAATGCAGAACAGTGGTAAGACAAAGTTTAAAAGGACAAGCATCGACAAGTTGATGAATACTCTAGTCCTATGGGTAAGTTACTGTAGCAAAACTAGGGAGTACTGCTAACCATTGCTGTCTTAATATACTTCATGTGCTCTTCTGGGAATTCTTTTAGAAGCCCGTGATCGCCTATGAAACCTTTGTTTGGGCATTTTATACTTGGGGTGTTTGCTGATTTCTTTTCCCTGGATTATGATGTACCGTTGCCAGTGGTAGGAGTGAATGTGAGAGGTAGGTTAGTGTTTGTGTTAGTTCTCCACATTTAAAGGATTTGTGTTTGGAAACTAAACAGTTCTTGAGATAGTATAGTGCTTTGTTGATTTATCGCTGTCCAAATCCTCACTAAGTCGATGTGGGCAGGGCTGGCTTCACTGGCCTGGGACCTGTGCAGGTACAAATGGCTCCATACTCAGGAAGGCCGGACGTGTGGTCTGTTGAGCTACTGTTGTGTAGAAATTCTAAATAATTCTTGAACAAGGAATTTTGTGTTTTCATTTTGCACTAGACCCTACAATTTGAAAAAAGTTATTTATTTATTTTACATGTATGAGTGTATTGCCTACATGTAAGTAAGTGCATCCATGTTGTGACACAGAGGTCAGAAGAGGGCATCAGAGCCCCTGGAACTGGAGTTATGGGTGGTTGTTACCCACCATGTGTTTGCTGGGATTCAAAGCCAGGTCCTCTGCAAGAGCAGCCAGTGCGCTTAACTGCTGAGCCATCGCTCCTGTTCCCCCTTGCAAATTTTGTAGCTGATTGTTTTTGTTTTTTAAATGAAACCTTGAGGCCTAAATCAGAACTTCTTCACAGGGGCACACGGGCTTCATGAGTTCTGTTCTCTTTCTCTGGTGAATCTTCTATTTTCTCCCTTATATTTTATAAAAAGTATTTTCTCTACCATCTGTTTACCCCAAACATGTATTTCTCATATTCTATCCTTTTACCCCTTAAGTTGGTGCTCTTTCGTACTGTCAATCTGATTGTTTTTTGACTGTGTCATGTGGATTTTTCTTTTTGAGGTACATTTAGTTTGAGGACAGTAACTTTGAAATATGAGGACGGCAGCATTGATTGGATTTCCTGGCACCTAATCACAGATTTTCAAGTATTCTAAATGAATCCGAGCTCAAATGTGTTTGTCTAACTGATGTGTAACATCTCAACTCTGAATAAGGGAAGAAGGATGTTAACACTGGCCAGGCCCTGCACAGTAACAGGACTGTGTCTGCTTTATTTCCCACTGACGGCCTGGGCTTCTCTGAGCTACCCTCATTCCCTTGGGATCGAGTTCTTGGAACCTGTGACACTCCAAGAATTCCCCATTTTAATGGGCCTAACCCCACTTCCAGGGCTTGCATGAAAATTGTGTGTGTACCACAGAGTAAAATCACTGCCTGTCTCAGCTGGCTATGGCAGAAAATAGGATGATCCTCTCAGGACCTGAAAACAAAATCCATCCTTAAATTAGGGCATTCAATACAACATCATTACTTTCAATGTTTTCAAGTCATTACAGTCAATTAATTTATAGTATCAACCATTAAAACAAGGATACTGTGATCTCCAGGTGCAGGAGATTCACATTTCAACTTTTCTTAGATGATTTTCTAATATACCTTCAATGAGGTTTTCCTCAACTCTGTCTTCATATGCCCCTGTTTTATTCTGGGGAGAAAGAAGAAAGGAGCTCTAGAACTTACGAGTATTCTCTCTTGGAGAAAAAACTGAACACATTCCTGTTTTCTAGGCCCACTATTGCCTTGATATTGGCTCCTAACAAAATAGGACACAAGTGGAGACTTCTATCATGTTGCTTATTTCTGAGTCTGGGGGTTTGGACTCACCACCGATGACGTTGTTGTCTCTCTAATAGCAATAGCTCCAAAGCGTTTGCTTCTCTAATTTTGATACTTATTATATAAACGTGGTAGGCGTTTCCACCATGCTTCCCACTTGAAAAAAATTCAAATATATGTATCATTGAAGTATTTTGGTTAGTACTTTACAGACAGTTCCACAGATCTACAGCTAAGCTCTTGACCAGTCTGAGGCAATTCTTTGCTACGGATCTTTTCTTCCTTCTGCTTTTATGCCTTGGGTACCCTTGTACTTCATCATCCATACAACATACCTTTCAAAGTCAAAGGAAACATTAGTAAGTGTACTGGTTTCTTGTTTTGTTGCTGTGATCAACTATCTGACAAGAACAATTTAAGGAAAGAAGAGTTTATTTTGGCCTACAGTCCAGGGGATATAGTCATCATGAAGGAGAAGGCTGGACAGCAGAAGTGGAGGCTGGCTGATCACCTCGCATCTACAGTCAGGAAGCAGAGGTGGAATGCCGGTGCTCAGCTTACTTTTTCCTTTTTATGCAGTCCAGGACGCTGGCCAGGGAATGGTACTGCTCAAGTTTTAGGTGGCTCTCTCCACCTCAATACATCTAGTCTAGTTAATCCTTACAGATTTGCCCAGAGGCTTGCTACCATAGTGATTCTAAATCCCATCAAGTTGACAATTGACATTAACCATTACAGTGCTATTATACTTAGACAATAGATGTAAACTGGGGCCATCTAGGGAAAAACAGGGCACACTGGGTCTCCTTTACTTAAAGCACTTAAGCATGTGTGCTTATCACAGACTGAAGATGTGAAGTTAGCTGTGTGACTGGAATCAGCCTATGGTTCAGTCTTTCTGTGCTTATCTTTTTTCCTGTTTTGTTTTTAATCTGTAGATGATGATCCTATCTGCCACAGAGAGTTGGTGGGAGAATTAAGTGAGAAAATGTGTGTTAGATACTTAGCCACACCTCTGATATAAAACTTTAAATTTTACTCATATAATGAGTTGTAAGTAAGAAGAAGTTTATGTAACTTGATTTTCAAATGACAATTTCTTCTGGGAATTGATTTATAATTAGATTGTATTGATTCGACTAATTTTGAGTTAACCTTAACCAGACTTCTATTCTTATTGCAGATTTTTGGATTTCTTGTATGCTTGGGAATTATTCTTGCAATAGGAAATTCAATCTGGGAGAATGAAGTTGGGGGCCAGTTCAGAGCTTTCATTTTCTGGAGTGGGGGCGAGAAGAGCTCCATGCTGTCAGGATTCTTAACATTCTGGTCATATGTTATTATCCTCAACACGGTGGTACCTATTTCATTATATGTGAGGTAAGATGAGAGTGTATGCTTCAAGAAGTCATTCCATCGAAAGCCTTTGTTTCAGACCATAACTTTCATTTGTTTTAAAATGACACCAGTGAGGTAGATGATTGACTCTGTGTGTGATCTGCTACATCTGTTATGAATGAGGCAACTTAAGCTCTTTAATTCTGTTTAACTTTTACATTTTCAAATTATAATAAATGCATTTTATTTTCTTCTTGATTAGATATGGTTTCTTAGGAATGTTTTTCTTTGGAGCACATGACCCACACTATAAGCTCATGCAAGGTGATCAATTAAAATCGGGTTAGTCTAGGGTAAGAAAAAGAACATTTGGGCATGTTTGTAGAGATGGTCTAGCTCCAGATACCTGGATGCAGATGCTGTTTGCTAACTTGGTAACATTGGGAGCACTACCATCCAGTGCCTAAGTCTCTTCACTTTAAAAATGGAGAAAATAATAGTTCTATTTCATGCGATTGTATGAGGACTGAATAAATGCTGTAAAGCTCATAGAAGAATGCCTGATACATTGTGAGGCTTAGTGAATACTACTCTCCTGTTATTGTCAGCCATTATAAGCAAGTACGTAAAGGCTTAAAAGCAAGGTGGATAGTGCCTGTCCATTGGTAGGTAAGTATGGTTCATAACAATCCTGATCTATAATTTCTAGATTTAATCCCACAGAGTAGAATTAAAATGGTCTGCCACTCTCTGTACCTGTCTTCACCTTTCCCAAGTGTGTTCTCTCCATGCACGTGTGTTTGATCTACATGTATGTGTTCTTTCTCTCCATGCATGTGTGTTTGCTTTGTGTATAGTCTCTCTCTCTCACTCTCTCCATGCACATGTGTCCTCTCTCTCTCTCTATGTGTGTGTGTGTATTCTCTTTCTCTACACACATATGATATATTTTGCCCCCCATCCCCTTCCTTCCTCCATGTGTGTGCTTGTGTGTGGGTGTGTTTGAAAAGACTTAGAGTCTGGCTGTAGGGACTACTCAAGACATTCTCCATCCTAGTCCTATCAAGACTTAGCCAGACATCTGCAAAGATACCGGAGTGTAGGTGGGACTTCATTGTTTGACAGTCCTCCTCATCAGGGCTTTAGCAATATACAGAATCTCCAGCTCTAAGTCTCCGCTAATTCTGACTAGCCTCCTTTCCTGTCTGCCTAAAGACCTGTCTCTGATGAAGAAGGGCAGCATAATGCACAAAATTCACTCTTATTTTGGATAATGCTCAGGAAACTGAAAATGTCAAGTTGTAGGGAATTGACTTAAGTAGGGGGTGTGACCACAACACCACAAACTGCCTATGTCCTTCTGGAGCTGTGGTCAGCAGGGGCTCTGTGTAAACTGTATTCTACTGGCTCATTTTGACTCTGAGCACCTCTCATGCTTGTGTCCCATTATAAAGCCTATCATAAATCTGACTCTGCCAGCAGAGCTATGGTCAGCTTTATAGTTTTCCTTTTATGTCCTAAACAAAAAATAAATGCACACAGTGGCTTACCAGCTGCATGTGTTCAGCTTCATATGTTCTTATAAAGAATGCGTGCTCTCTGTACTTTCTTTCTTTGAACTGTCCCAGCATTTTTATTTAATGATTTTAAAGAGTGATTTCTTTAAAGAGACTGTGGTTAGATTTTTCAGGTTAGGAGTTCTTTTAGTTCTAGTGTGCAGTTGTTGTAAAAACATATTTGTAATATTCCAAACCCAGTTTTTAGTCTTTGCATTGCTAACAATATCTGTGTAACCTTAGAGAAAGGCTTTTCTGTGCCTTAGTATACTTGTTAGATGTGTGCTACTCTGTAAAATAAGAGGTTAAAAACTCACTTCTAAATTCTTTTCTATTTCGTATAATAGTACCCTAGTTTAAGATAGCATTCTATGTATATATTCACATATATTTGATGTCAGCATAGCATTTTATTACTTGAAACTGCTTTTTCATACATGTCTTTTTATGATTTCTAAAAGTACTCATGGATGTTCTGTAACATGAAATATGATGCCTTTCCATATTGCATGATTTTTTTCCTTCTTTAATATTTTGCATAAGGTATGTTCACACTGTAGCACTTATGTCTCAACACTCTTAGGAAGATATATCTCACCTGCTGAAGTGGGGAGATGACTTGCTCAGGATTATGGAATTAATTAGGGCAAAACCAAAATCCAAACCCATGTCTTCTGACAGTTGGCACTGTTTTCCTTCCATCCTTAAGCTGCATACGATTTAGCATAGGTGAAGATTAAAATGTGAGGTTTTTCTCTCACTGAATAACAGTGATTCTGGTCCCAACTGGAGGGGGAAAGCATTCCAAGGAATTTCAGGTTGTTCGGTTCTAAACTCCGAGACAGGAAAAGAGAACTCCCAGGTGCCTCTGCTCTGAGCGATGAAGGCCTTCCACCAAAGCTTCCATTAGGCTTTGAATAGGTACAACAAATAAATCAGGGCCATATGTTACTTGAGGGTGAAAGTGCATAATTTGCTTTGAACCGTTAACAATTCCAGGTGAGCAAAGACATTTATTTTGATAAGGTATTTCTATGCTGTCAGTGTGTTTATCTGTTATGTTAAGAAAGTCTCAGCCTCACTTTTTAAAATACATCATCTGAGGAAAGACAGTCATTGTTCTCTCAAGGAACTGGCCTCGAGCATTCCTTTTAAAAATGTTTTTTATTGAGTATTTTTGCGTTACAAATAATAGATCTTAATCAAATTTAGACCCTCCTCCCCATCCATAATCCTGTGTATTCCCCCCATCCCCGCTGGATTTCATGCCTTCTATCAAATATGTTAAGGCCTATCTGGCCAAGCATTGTACTCAGATTTCCCTTGATGCAAGTTCATCCACTGGAATCTAGCCAGCCTATCTAGAGTCACTCCCTTACAGAAGATCAACTCTTCCTCGCCACGCAGTAATCGGTTGCCAATAGTTCCTTGGCTAAGGTAGGAGCCTGTTGCCCATTTCCCCAGTTCTGTGCTGGGTTTTTGTCTGATTGAGTCAGCATGGGTCTTGTGCATGCTATCACCATTGTTGCAAGTTCCTATGAACAAGTTCCCAGAGACCTGAAAGCCTCTGTTCCTTATATTCATGCACCAATCCTAGCTCTTACAATCTTTTTGTCTTCTCTTCCAAAATGGTCTCTGAGCCACGAGTGAGTGAGGTTTAATATAGGAGTCCTCCCCGGGGACACACACTCTGCAATCTCTTATTCTCTATAACTTGACCAGTTGTGGCCGTCTGTGTGCATCACACTCTGTTA